AAAGGGAAAATCGGCCCACTATCTGAATCTGGCCGCAGGCCTTGAGAAGAGAGGCGCAACTGCATTACTCTGGGGCCCAACTGTATCGGGAAGGCTTCAGCCTCTGGGTCCCGGTCGCAGGCTGAAGGGAGGCCGCCCACATGCTGCATTTGCATATAGGCAAGCAGGGCGAGGCAGCAGGAGCGGGGCCAATGCTGGCATATGCGGGCACGCTGCGCAGATGCAAGTGTGCAGCGCTATGCAGAGCAGCGCTGCGCTAAGACAGGGCAGGCCAGCGCTAGGCGGTAGGGCGCTGCCTGCGTGCAGGGCACTGGCGGCCATAGCCGGGCCGCATGAGGGTGCAGGGGAGGTGAGGGCGAAGGTCGGAGGTGAAGGGCGCTGTGTGGGTAACAAGGGAGAGTGTGGGGAAGAGGACACGTACCTGGTGATGGTGGAGATCTGCATTGGTGTTGACATCATCACTCGCTGTTAGTCAAGTTGTCTGGTTGCTGTTCATTGCTGTAGTTGTAGGATAGGCTGTAGAGTAGATAGGGCGCCTGGCGCCATTCACAAGAGAGAGCTACATTTGGGTTATGCTGTTGGTGTTGCCCTGGTGGACATGGACATTGACTCACAATTCTTCTGTATCATTCTCAATGGGATGGTTACTCGGTTCCATGTGCTATCTGCTTTGGCTTTGAATACTTGGACTTCAGTGTGATTTTGTATTCTGGATTTCTGTGCTTCGTCCATACTCATGTTCCTTGCAATTTGGTATCGGAGCTGGTTTGATCGCCACTTACTTTTGGCACGCTGGCGTTATACAGACTTGGTGCGTTGATGATGCTTCTTCGCAGTGGGTATTTGTGACGTCAGGCTACACTAGGTGCACGCCCTGAGTAGAGAGGGGTGCACCGGAAGGCTATTGACGACATTATTAGCCGTGGGATACAACGGAATGTTTGATTGGTGATGAGAGCATGCTGATGTGGCATTGGACTAAGGTGGCACTGCATTGCGTTGTGGGTGGTACCGAAGTCATGACCGGTCATCAAATGCAACATCAGCTCAATTGGTGAGAAATCTGTGGTTGGGGGCAGCTATCTCCAGGTACGTTGTTCCCTTACCTTATCTACTCTCTCAATCTCTTCTTACCGTGAGGAAGTGAGTCCAACTTGAGAGTCCTCTCTTTTGGCGAGGTGTCGTGAGCGCGCTACCTTGAGAGACGACAATCTTCCCGGAAGCATACTCGAAGGAGAAAGGGCGGTGCCTCTGAAGGGCCCTGGTCAAAGCACTTGGGTCACGGTCACCATGCCAACCCACAGGGAGTGGTGCACGCATGCGATGGCTGCTGTCCTGTTTGGCACTTGCTGCGCTGATTGAAGTTCCTCCGGGTGTGCCAGCCCATGACAGACGCTCACCAGACCATCTATAAATATTTCTGGTTGGGAGTTCATTGTGAWTCTGGCTGTGATCGTCGTCCTGACTGTGACGTTAAATAATTCCTGAAGAGATGGGGGCGCTCTATAAATCCCTCCTGATCAGCCAGATCACATGGACAGGAAGGCTCGTCGCCGTACGAGGGTAAATAAGAGTGGTTGGGCTGGCTTGCTCGGTGACAACTTGGGCACAGGGGTGGGCCGATTCACACAGGAAGACACTGCTCGCTCAAAGATGCTATTCGGTATGTTGGATGGAGGGGAGGGTAGGTTCTAATTGGTGCTCAACTGTATACACAACCATACCCATCAATCATACATCTGTTAGATTGTCTTTTTGTACCTTTGATTAGTTGGTTGACGGACTGCTAACCTCACAGACAGAATTAGTGTAGGTTTGTAGTGCGCTACCATAGCCAGTTCTAACTAATGCTGCTGTAAGTGAACCATTCAGAGTGCATCTAGACTATGTAGACAATCTGTGTGAATGTTGTAGACATGCCACTTGATTCGGTATAGTAGGATACTCGCCGGACACAACTGTTGTTAGGAAATTAGGTGCCGGTCAGATACATGTTGTGGTAGGATTCGGCTAGGGGATTCTAGTGCAGAAACTACCTGCCTAACTAATGAGTGGATCAGATCCTGCTGATGATAGAGTTGACAATAGGAGACTTACACGTTTGGAAGCATTACGGGTTCCGCATGTGTTCAGGACCTTGGACGAGGGAGAAGAAAGACGGCTTCGTGCCGAACGTAGAGCCCGTGCTCTAGCAGCAGGACTACAGGAAGCAAACAGAGTAGCAAGAGAGCGGGCAACAGCAGCCAGAGCAGCAGCAATGGCTAATGGTACCAGCTCTGCTGCGTCATCGTCTGCGTCCTCGTCAGGGACTAGTGGGCCTCAGTTGAGAATGCCTCTGAATTCCACGTCGGGCACTTTCGGTTCAACAGGGTCTAGACAGTCTTCTAGTCAAATGGCGGGCTCACAGTTCAGCCCGTTGACTCCAAGTAAGAGGGAGCTCAGAGAGATCCAGCAGGTCGAAAGGCTCCACCAACAGTTAGAGGAGGATCTGAAGAAAGCAACCGATAGAGAAAAAGAGATAAAAAGTAGAGCAGCCAGACTTGATACGTTAGAGGCTGACAAGGCTGCGTTAGAGGGATTGGACGAATCGAGTTTGTCTGACACCCTGAAAGTGTTGAGGGACAACCTGTTGTCACTGCATGCGCACGTAGACAGCAGGATGGACTTCATGCAAAACACTTTGGACCAGATCCTGGATGCATTGACAAAGCCAGGATTCCAGCCACCAGCTCAGTCGCCGTTGCCATTAACGGCGATGTAGGCCCCTTTGCCGTACAAGCTGGCACACAGCCAAGTGGCACATCTGCAGCAGCAGCACAGACTGTTGCATCTTCTTCTTCGGGTCCAGTGGTGATTGCTGCATCACCACAACAACCTGTTCAGCCAACTGGACAGCCGCAAGGTCAATGGTATCCCAAGACCCCAATGAAACCGCCTCTTGCCTTCTCAGGCGAGAGAAAGGACGAAGAACTCAACACATGGTTGAGGACAGTCCCGGTTTGGGTGAAGGCCAAAAGGACTTTGCCTGAGGATGAAGTGGTAACTGCGGCATCTTACCTAGAGGGTAAGGCAGCCAAATGGTTAGATGGAGGAGTTGTGAAGGCCGGGTACGGGCGACGCATGGCGGATTGGGCTAAGTCTTTGACTTTAGACCAATTCATGGAGATGGTAGAAGCTTGATGGCATAACCCACAGGAGGCTTAAAGGGCCACCGATGCCATTAATAAACTGGACCAATGCAAGTTCAGGTCAGTTAGGGAGCTTACGACTACCGTCGAGAGCCTGATCCTCGTCCCAGGCATCAACTACAGTGACCAGTTCCTCTTAACCACGTTTGTTAGATGTCTACCTGAGAACATGAGGAACTTACTAGCCAGTGAGGCACGCACTGAGTACCACTCATTTGAGATATTGTCTAGGAAAGCCTTAGACGCCACGCTAGGCAATGCTCAACCCACCTCAGGGAATGACTCAAAGAAGAAGAAGAGTCCTCAGGAGTGGAAGAAGGGGGCAAAGTTGATGATGGTTGAGTCTGATGGGACTCAAACTGAGATTGATGAGCTCTCAAACCTGATGGACTACTCAAAGTATGACGGCAAGGAGGTAGCTGAGGGTAGCACCATTGCCGCGGTAGTAAAGACTAAGGCAGGTGGCCGAGGGAAGGGCCAACCTAGGAGTCAAGGGAAGGCCGCCTCTAGTCAGACCAAACAGTCTGAGTGGGTAAAGGCAGGTCTTGATCAAGACGTGTGGCGTGATCGCCGAATGCGTGGCGCTTGCATCAACTGCGGAGAATACGGACACACGTAGTGGAAGTGTCAGAACGCTAAGGTTACGCAAAAGGTTGCTCCAAAAGTAGGGACAACCTATTCCCAGGCTTCTAGCTCGGGAAACGCGTAGGGCCAGTGGAAGTAGTAGGGGCTTCTACTCAAGATGAAGTGGGATTGATACCCTCCTCACTTCATGACAAGGCCGAAGCTAATGACTCCTTAGTCACCCCGCAGACACAACTAGACCAAACTATGCTCTGTACGTTAGATGTGTCTGAGGCCTTAGAAGACTTAGAAGGCGAGTGGTCAAACAAGGACCCTAGCGAGTCTTGGGTGGCGCTAAAGAAGGGTCCTAGAGGGGAACATTTCGTGGTGGAAGTGGATGTAGGAGGCCGCAAATGTGGAGCCTTCATAGACAACGGATCCACATGAAATTACATAAGTCGCGATTGTTTGGAAAGGCTGCACCTACAGGACCGGGTACGGCACCTTAGTAGACCAATAGCATCTACTTTGGCCAACACAGAGCGCATGATTGTCACAGACTACATCAAGGACGTAGTCTGTACCTTGTCCTATGGAGGAGGAGAGCTTAACCATAAGATCTTGTTCTTGGTTAGCGACGACCTGCCATTTGAAATGTTGTTAGGCATGTACTACCTCGAAGTTGCTAAGCCCCAGTTCGACTGGGATAAGAAGGTGCTTAAGCATAAGTTGCCCGATGGCCGAACTGTCAGATTGACCAAGTTCAAGGCCAGCAGTATTGTAGATACCTATGGCTGCTTGTGTGCATCAGCGTTCTATAACTACTACAAGCAAAACCAAGAGGAAGGTATGTACCTCGTTTACGTCTCTGAGAAGGGGGAGGCCGTTAAAACACCCCCAGAGATAGAACGCGTCGTTGCTAAGTTCCCCGATCTGTTCGAGGAGCCCACAAGAGTTGATGATAGGGAAGTCGTCCACGCTATAGAAATCATTCCAGGGAGTAAGATCCCAAAGGGAAGGATCTATAGGATGGCCCCTGCCGAGTAAGATGAACTTCGGAAGCAACTCAAGGAGCTGACAGAGAAGGGTTGGATTCGGCCTAGTACTACCCCTTACGGATCACCTGTGCTATTCGTACCGAAGAAGGGGGGTACTTTGAGGATGTGCATTGATTAATTATAGGGGCCTCAATGCCATCACTGTGAAAAACGCAGAGCCTCTACCTCGCATAGACGACCTATTGGATAGGGTGCAGGGATGCAAGTACTATACAAAGATACACTTGAAATCCGGATATCACCAGATCGCAATAAGACCTCAGGACCAACACAAGACAACTTTTCAGACTAGATATGGTTCATGACCATTTAGATAAGTTTGTCGTGGTCTACTTAGACGACATTCTGATATTTAGTAAGTCTGCCGAGGAGCACGCACAGCATGTTGAGACAGTTCTCTCACTCCTGCGACAGCACAAGTGTACGGTCAACTTAGAGAAGTGCGAGTTTGGCCGCACATAGATACTATACTTGGGTCATGAAGTATCCGCGGAGGGAATTAGGCCGGAAGATGCGAAGGTGGCTAGTATTCGAGACTGGCCACGACCTCAGACAGTCACTGAGGTCAGATCATTCTTAGGAATGTGCGGCTACTATAGGAACTTCGTCAAGAACTATTCTACAGTCGCCTCTCCTTTGACTGATCTAACTCGACTTGACACACCGTGGGA